ATAAAATTTAATATGCTTTTTTGTTTTTTATTAATTAATTATTTACCCAATGGACTTCGCATATGTTCTAAATAACGTTCACATTGTTCTTTAGCTGATTGAATAGCTTGAATTTCACGATCAACATCTTGAATTGTATATTCAAGAGTTTTACGCCATTTATCAATTTCATCAAGTCGATCAGAAATACGTACATCACTGAAATAGATATCAGCCTTAAAATAAATCAACTAACTAGAAAATGTATTATAGTTGTCGAAAAAAAAAGTCCCGCTACTGAATAAGAAATACATCAACTTCAATTCTTTTGCCTTATATATCGACTAAAAGCACTGTATTTTTCTCACTGGATCTAAAACAAAGCTCTTTTGATACTTTTCTGAGTCTTCACAATTTTAATGCTTTATCATTTGTTTTCTTATTAGCAAACAAGGCTCCACAAGTCTATATTATATCACAGAAAGAGTACTTTAACCCAATGTAATCTTCAGGCGTGAAAAAGCTGTAATAGTTTTGGACAGCTTCAGCACAGATCTCCTCTCTATTGATGGATAAAATCGTAAAATTTTTAGGAAAAAGATGAATACAGCAAAACTCTCACTGAAGAAAATTTCAAAACGAATGGTTGAAACTAGCCGAAGTTGTGGATCTCTCTCCAACGAGACCCCTCAAAAATGAATTCATAAATCAAGCAAAGTAAAACTATTTTACATGAAATTTTTATTTATGATAGATACAACAGTGAACTCTTGGATAAGTGATCAAATGCCCGAGATTTGTTTCCTATAGTGAAATATCCTTGTTAGAAGCAAAAATTCTATATTGACCTTCTAACTCCTCTATATGAAGGCCAATTAGGTCCTAATTGATCCTTGATATTAGAGTTCAACTTACTCTATTTGTGATCAAAATATGAGACCACAGAGTTCAAGTTTAGGTACTTTTTACTATTAGCAAGACTTTTTTTGCGACTAATTTATCAATTATATTTTGTTTGGCTATATTTAACTTTTTCATATTTCTATATGCCAGTTAGAGATTTCGCTACAATAATATTCTTTCAGAGGGCTTCGTTGGGCTAGTATGCTAAACGTT